TATTATACTTATTACCATAACCATGAAGGAACTGCATCAGAGGAAAAAAAACAACTCTATTCCTGAAACTGAAATGCCACTGCAGAATGGTTGAGCCCTGACATCCCGGCAGGCCAGCCAGCAGACAAGAAGCCAGGAGACACACAGATGTATCAGAGAGGCAATTTATAAAATCTGTAGCTTTTGTGTGGTGGCAATAGACAATATTGGTCTGTATAAGTTTACTACTGAGAAAGTTAACACTTAGTTATTAAACAAAAGTGTTGATTAAGTCCTGAAGGATAACTAATTAATGTAAGATTTCTGGTAATTCTCTATCACACTAAAAACATCTATAAAAATATCTATCTCTGTGATCCTATCTATTCATCTACCTATCTATATTTTTATCCCAGAACACCACAATGATAAAACATGGTATTTGTGTTGACAATAAGCAACCTGAGATTTATTTAGTAATTTGACTATTTTTTCAAATGTAGGCAGATGATTTAATGAGATGGGAAATCACACTTCATTGTGCAAAAATAAACTTTCTCAGAAAATACTTCCAAAGCTGAAGTATAAATGATTTTGAAGCATTAAATACATTGTAGAGATTAGAGTGTCATTTTGAAATAGAAAAGAGAAAAGAGAGGGGGGAAAAGGTACAAATTATTTCAATCTGTGTATGTGCAAAACAATAATCTTCCAGCCATTTTACTCCAGGAATTGTTCAAAGATCATAAAATAAAATTGGTACCTTAACAAAGATGAAAATGTAGTATTTCAATCTTCATATCACTTCTAATTAGCATTTTGTTTTCTTCTGTCAGTCTGGATCTGAGTTTAAGGAGCTACAAACTGGATGACTATGTAGACAGTGTCACAAATTACATGATTTTTCATCAGGAAATATTCATCTTTAGCCTTGTTTTCAGATATTCTGTAAGTTAAGATATTAAAACACATGATTGGGCTCCAGAATTCAACAGAGCACCACATCCTCTAAGACCTAGAGAAGTTACAATGTTCATCTGAGGGCAGACCTATCAGTCTTTATAATCCTACACTTTAAGCACTATTAAGCTTCTTTATCTTTTTATCTTTCAAAACCCAAAATGCAGAGAAGGAAGAAAATAGGAAAAACTGCACTGTAAAAGAGAAATAAACTCCTCATAGAATAATGCTTTGGAAGATTAGAGAGCTATGACATAAATGATCTGAGAAGAAACTAATAGGGAAACTATATTTAAAAGCACCCAACTTTCACATTTATTTCTGATAGAAGACAGTCCCTGACACAGCATTGCCTCCAGCCCATTCACATTCCCTTGGCTGGTATGAATACCAAATTGGGAGCCCCCGGTGGTCCAGGGGAAAATACACTGCACTGTCACTGCAGAGACCCGGGTTCGATTCCCGGTCAGGGCCCCTCCCCGGGCAGATGGAGCTCGTTAGCCCTGTAAGGCAATCCATCTACGTCCTGAGGACCTCGCTGCCACTGTCCAAGCGTGCTTGGCCCCGGCAGATGAACCTCAGGATTAAAGGGTGGGCTCAGTTCCGCGCACACTGTGTCTCACCTAAAAAATCCAATGCGCAGGCTGGAAGGTGTAAAGACCTTCCCTGGTTCTTCGTTCGCGAAGAGACTGGCCATTATATATGAATACCAAATACTAAAACAATACGTAGAAGACTCTTGAGAGTTTAAAAATCGGAGCACTGCAGAAGAAATTCCCAAGAGTCCTCTGCTGTTACATTCTAACCAAAGAAATTCAGGTTGGTTAGGCAGAGTGAAGGGAAGGTCTCTGTGGCACAAAACCTATTTCACCAGAAGAAGGTGTGTCCTCATGTGCGGCTCCAGGTGGAAACGTTCAGGTTGATGTGAGAGCCAGCAATTGGACCGCCGTGTTTGCAGCTGAAAGCAATAAAAACCAGGTTGGGCAGCAGAGAATTCAAACGCAGATGCTCTGTTTCTGCTGCAGCATGACTTTGGGCAGATTCAATCTCAACGTCCCCTCCCAGAGCCAGCCATACTACTGGGAATGTCTCCCAGTGAGCTCAGAAAACGTGAGTGAAAACAGGCTGCGACTGCTCTCTAGAAATATACTCTGAAGAGTAAAGATGTGAAGAAAGAGCCTCACTGTTTAGGGTCAGCACTGGCACATAAAATAAAGGAGAATAAATTGTCTGAAAAAAAATTTAGGACAGGAGTGGTATTTCTAACAGCCTGAGAGAGGGTCTATCCAGCCTTCAAAAGGTGCAGTAAGAGTGATACCCCAGCTAACTGAAACTGGAGCTTGCTGAATCTGAACAAAATAAGAAGATCGGATTGAGATCACAGCAAACAGACCTGATGACTCCACAGGCCACTCCAGTCCTCTCTCTCTAGAAAAATGTGAGAAGATATGCTTCTATTCCTGGTTCAGGCCACTGAACTACAGCAGCTAAAACCATGCATTCATGAGTCAGCATGCTGTGCACTATGCAGTTTTCAACTTCTATTCACCTGTTCATTTTTATTTGCAACTGCTAGTTATAGAGGAAGAAAAAAAGAATTGTTTTTCAAAGTTTTCAGTTTATAACCCTTTATAAAGGTATATTAAATTCCTATGCTTTCATGAATACCAAACCAGCTGTAAAGAAAAAGATATGTTATTTAAGACTGGACACTCATCACTTTCAGAAATAAAAGCAGTACAAGTACAGCTCACACTAAATATAAGAAATGGAATTATATCATCACTTGTAGAAATTTGCAGTTTGTAGGCAAAATTTTTATTCATCTAAAAGGACAGTTGTCTTTGACACTAACTATAGCTTTCTAAAACTTGCTTTCAACATCATTAATCATAGCATAACTATGGGAACACCACACCAGAACCAATTCCACCAACCCAAATCCTACTGTGCCCACACACTGTAGGTGGTAGAAGTAGCCTCTTTCAAAATTAGCTCATTTATGCCTACTTTAAAATCCCTATGTTGTACAACCATAGACTGCTGCAAACAAAATGTATGTATAATAATTACCATGCTACTCAGACAACAGGTGCTTTCTGGATAAAATCTTGATGCTAAAAATAGTGCATTCCTAAAACTTTCTTTCTCAGACTTCAAGACAAGACTAGGCGAGCAGGATTAGATCTTCAGTCCACAACTATCTGTACAAACTTACACAGCACACCTGATGTATTAAAAGAAAGGACAAAAGGAACATCATTCTGGCAACAGCTAGCCTAGTTAATTTGTTTCAGTGGTCTAGCAGTATCAAAAATATTTTGCTAACTGGGAGTCCCACATAATTTAAAGAAAAACCTTAATTTAAAAAGAAGGAGGGATGAAAATAAAAAGAGGATTGGAGAATAAAGTTTCGATCACTCTTATTTTTAATGGTTTGCTTTCAAATTAATTCATGAAAAAACAAGCAGGATGAGTCTTCTTAAAATATGGAGTATTAACCCAACAGTTCATAACTGTTTTGGAGAAGTCATCATAATCTATCAGGCAAATATCTCAGCTGGTTTTTAGACACATGAATTATTGACCCTGTTATACTGCCAAAAGTATTTCATCATGTCAGAGCAGAAGTCATGCATAAATATGAGCTAAATATTTTTATTACATTTAAACTGGGAAAAGTCACTGTAAATACATAATAGTTATGATTCTACAAAGATAGGTGAATTTATTTATTTATATTTCATCATGACTAATTGCATGATATATACACTTCTTATATACACTTTTTACTTTAAAGGAAGCTGTTAAGTTGCAAGAATGTAAACATAAGCATTGGGAGTTTCAAACTTCTGAATGCATTCATAATTCTGTGAATTATATTTGCCTATACAACACTGACAAAAGAAATACGTCCTCTATAACTTACTTTAGTTTCCACATCTGAATACACAGCATATCTTTACAGTCAGTTACAGATCCCTAAAAGCTGTTTCTATAAAATACATTAAGCAACAGAGAACATTGCCGAACATTCAGTACTTCAACTTCAGCATAATATTGCACCATATTTCTTTCTGGGGAGGAGAGAAAAAAAAAATACACCAAAAAAACAAACAACAAAAAACACCGTGTCATCTGGAAAAATCTTTCCAAATTGTATTTTAGAGAACCAATATCCTGTTTGTACATCGGGGTAGTCCCTGTTAACCATTTAAGCGCTCTCAAACAAAAGTAACAGTTTCTCCTCCAATCCTGAACTCTCAGTACCATCACAGAAAGTAACAGTTTCCCGTTCCCTGTCAGCCGGTGGCATTATTAATCATCAAAATAAAATGAAACACCTTCAAGCAAATATCAGCTTCTGACTAATCTCCATCCCAATGAATTAAATTCATAAGAGGCAACCTGCTGCCTTGTTTACACCTTTTTTATATGAGGAGCAGAAGTTGGATATAAAGGTTTTGCTGCCCTTAGGGCTACAAAATATGCCTCATGTGGCAGCGAGCCAGCTCTCCGAGGGAGCCTCCTTTGCTGTTTCACAGCTATTTTCTAATGGATAATTCTTAAACAGACACACACAAACACACAAGCCACCACAATACAGGGCCAGGGCTTTTGTTTTTTTTTTCTACAGTCCTGTAAGCATTTGCACTCATAATGAGGATCTCCAGGTTCCATCCATGTTGGGTTTGGGCTGTACTTCTGCTTGGTTTGGTTTTGGTTTTTGTTTGTTTGTTTGGTTGGTTGTTTCTGGTTTTCTTTAATGGTAAGGAGGAGAGGGAGGGTGTCTGGATTTTTTTTTGCCCCAGCTGCCTTCCCCTCTATACAGCACAGCACAGCACATAAAACACCTCTCTTCAGCCTGACCGACCTAGGCTCAATTAGTGCAACATTTTGCACACATGCAAACAATCACAAGGCACAGATATTTAGTCCAGTCCTCATGTGTATTGCACAGATACCTTTAGAAAGGGGTGGAAGGAGATTTCTTTTAAAAAAAAAAAAATCTCACAATGTAATTTACACAGCGTGGAAACGCCTACAAGGAGATGAAGTACCTGCACTGGGGAGATGTTCAGTTGTTCACTTCATCTTCCGTTGACAAGGAAACCAAACCGCACTTCATTCTCCAGGAAAACCTTCCACTGCCATCATTTGAAAATGTATTTATTTGTATATATGTATATATCTATCATTATCATCATCATCATGATAACAACAACCATCTTAAAACACTGCTGGCAAAAGAATAAAAAAGTCAAGGTGCAAAATGTGCAAAAGTAAGGATCATCTCTTTGGCTTTCTGTTTTGCTTTGTTGTCTTTAAGGAGGAAAAAAAGTATTTAAAAATTATAACTGCAACACACTGCAAGAAAAGTTTCACATTACAAATAGGCATCAAAAACTGAAGAAGAGGAAAAACAAAAAACCCTGCTGATTGCACTGTCAAAAAGGAAAAACAAAAAAAAAAGAAACAGTAACAAAAATAATAAAATTATCATCTTGCTCTGTGGCTTCCACCAGTATTGCAAGATTACAAACTCTGTGTAAACACTGCTGCAAAATGCATTTGCAACTCCCATCGCTTTATGGAAAAAAAAAAAAAAAAACCTTAAAAAACACCCAAAAATAAAAATAAAACAACACCAGAGAAAATCCTCTGCAAAAAGAGTTAGAAACATGCATTTTCTCTTATCTTTAAAAAAAACAAGCATCATATTTCACATCTTTTTTTCGTGCCACAACAAAACCAGTTGCATATATAGATATATAGCTACTAAATGTATATCAGTTGTTGCTGGACTGGCAAGTCTGTATAATTAATATTATCATTTTTCATTCCCAGTGACTCCCGGCCCCAGCAGCACCTTTTGCTTACACTTTAGTAACCATCGCATGCTAGGAAAAAAACTTGTCATCAGCAAAAGATCAAATCCATTTAAACAATAATCAAAGAGGAAGAAAAAAAAAAGAAGAAAAAAAAGAAAACAAAAACAAAACCCAAAAAAACAAAAGGAAGAAAAAAAAAACAGGACAAAAAAAGGAGGACAAGAATGTCAGCGGAAAGGTACTCACCGAGCGGGAGTAAAAGGGAGGAATAAAAATGAGAGTTACTATAAAATACAGTATGGCGGTGGAAGAAGGAATGAGGCGCTTTTTTTTTCTCTCCTCTCTAGTCTCTGCCTCCGGCAACCGCCACGTGATCCGGAGCCGGGCGGACTCGCAGCCGGGAGGGCGCAGCGGCGGCGGCGGCGGCGCCGGGCGCGGACCCAGCCCGAGCCCAGCCCGAGCCCAGCCCGCTCCGCTCCGCGCCCGCCGCAGCCGCCCGGCTTCGCCACCGCCCAGCGCTCGGCACCGGCACCACACCCGCACCGCGGCGGCCCCGCCGGCCCCGGCAGGTGCCGCTCGCCCCCGCACTCACACCCGCACCACTCACTCACTCACTCACTCACTCCCTCCCTCCCTCACTCCCGCCGAGCGCGGGCGCGCAGCGGCCTCTCGGGCGGGGTGCGGAGGCGGGCGCGTCCTGCGCGGCAGCGCAAGTTGCTCGGCGGCGCTGCGCGAACTTGTCGCCTGGCGCCGCCCGCCCGCCCGCCTGTTGCCCTCCGGCCACTGTACCGCCGCCACCGCCCCCCCCTCCCCGTGGCGGTGCTCCTCGACCCCGGGAGCGGAGCGGAGGGCGCCGGGGTTCGCCCGGATGAGCGGTACGATGCGCCCGGCGGCGGCCCCAGAGCCGCGCCGGGCTTCGGGGCGTGTGCGCTCGGGGTACCGCTGCCGCCGACCCCGCGGGGATGGAGGCACTGTGCGGGGGTACCGAGTGTGTGCGCGCACGCAGCGGGGTCGCCCGCCACCCGGCTCGCCGTCTGCACGGGGTGCCAGCCCTGATCCCCCGCCTATGTGCAGCTCCGGCTCAGCGTGGGTGCGCGGAGTACCCCGGCAGGCAGACAAGGTATGGAGGGGCATCCCCTCCTGTCACGCCAGCTCCGGGGCACCGCTGCTGCCGGTGCAGCGCGGTGGGGAAAGTGCGGGGTTCCCCTGTGCCACTCCTGCTCTTGTGTGTGCGCAGCTCGGGGTGTTTCCGTGCCGAGTGCCGGGTCTGCAGTCACTATGCATCCAGTCATGTCTGAGCAGCGGGGCAGAGAAGGACAGGTGCCACCGGTCCCATCCGTCACCGCTTTTGTTTTCCAGCCTCTACCCTGCTGCACAGCCTCTCCCTCCTCCTGTCCTTCCAGCGGCAGGTCTGATGCTTCCCATCCCAAAGTTGCTGACCGAAATGGGAAGTAAACAAGTGTTTTCGGAGGGGGACACTCGCTAGGGCGTGCGCTCCCGTGCGCAGCCCGCAGCCGCGAGCAGTGTAGTACAGGGCAGTGGGTTCCGGGCAGGGTGACCTCGGCTGGGCAGCCTTCCAGGGCACCGCAGCCCGAAGCGGTGGACGTATTTGGGGTCGGGCCCTAGCACCGACACAAGCAGCCCCGTGGCTGGCCGGATGGCAGCCCTCTCCCTTTTCTTTTAACATATGAGCAATACATTGGAGCAGGCTGTATGCTACTGTTGCTGAGAGTTCCCTCAAGACACTTGCTTTTTTTTCCTTTTTAGCTCTCTCCTCTCTTGCCTCCTTATTAACAAGCACAGCAGTCGCAAGGAGCGGCGGCTGGGGCTGAGAGCAGCTTTGCTCCAGCTCCAGCTGAAGCAAAACCTGCTTAGCCACCGCCAGGCCCCAATTCACCTCCTCGGCTGCATCTCACTTCACTGGCTCCCAAAATGTTAACAGCTTACAATCGCCCACAAACTTACTTCTTTAATGCTTCAGCAGTAGAAGGGCCACAAGAGACATCTGCATGAGGTAAATTAACAGAGGAATAGAAGTATGCATCCGTAAACTAGGCACTGTGATGGATAGAACAGTCCAGGCAATACTTCCCTTCTCCCCTGCTCTTTTTCATTTTTTCACTCTTTTTTTTTTTTTTTTTTTTTTTTTTTTTTTTTTTTTTTTTTTTTTTTTTTTTTTTTTTTTTTTTTTTTTTTTTTTTTTTTTTTTTTTTTTTTTTTTTTTTTTTTTTTTTTTTTTTTTTTTTTCAGGGCTCCTCTTTTTTCATCCAGGTCAGGAGGCAGGAGATACAGCCAGGTTATTACTCTACAAAAATTGCTCTGACCAGTAAGAGGATGCCCTGCTATATAAAAGACTGGTGAGGGCACCAGCCTGCCTTCTTCACATTCTCACACAAAGCTTTTTCTCTTGCCCTGACCATTTCTTTCTTTCTTTCTTTTCTGTCCTGTATCTCTTCCCCAATGTTTCTAGAAAATTAAAAGAAATGCTCCCTTTCTTCTTTGCTCTCAACTTCTTTTATAAAGTATAAAAAGAACACTGGACGAAATTTATATATATATATAAACAGTTATGTTTTCTTGCTTGCTTTTTATTTTAGCATTAGGCTTGTTCTGGCATTTTGTAATGTTTGCTAAGTTTGGCTCTCAGGAGTAAAGCTGTACATCTGAGAAGGTTTTAAACAAACAAACAAAATAAGTTCTTAAAGATACAATAATTTGCAATGAATTAAAACATTTAGTGTGAAAACTAACCAACTGAACTGTACAACAAATTACATACATATGACAATAAACTCAATCATATTGTCATGTTGGTGTCACAAAATATCATGTTTGAGATTTCGGGTGTGTGAGGTATATTTCCTTAGATGGCACACTTCAGTTTTGTGTAACTCTAGGTACTGTGCATATAAATTCAGTAGAGTGACTGAGGTGGGTTTTTTAAATTCTATTTAACATCAATATGTGTTTGCAGAATTGGGGCCTAAATAATAATCCTATTTTGCTGTTGCTTTTCATTTTCTGTTGCTGTTTATGTAATTTTGAGTACATAAGTCTTCCTGAAATAACAACAAAAAAAAGTTAAGGGATGGTGTTTTAATAATCCCAAATTGTACAATAGGTCTGACTTGTAAACTTGGATTATATTGACACATATCTAAGAAAAAGGAATTTTGGACAATATATTTTATATATTATTTACTTCAGTAAGAACTAGGAATAAGGTAAACATGCAAATATGTATGTTCTTCTTTTCAGTGTGTGTATATTGATTGCTTATTCTGTGACTTGATCATTATGATAAATGTCACATTTGAATGTAAACACTGAAAGCTGCCGACCTTAGGGGCAGCTTCCAGACCAGGTTTATAGACAGAGCTGAGGGGTATCCAGGCCCATAAAATGTAACAAAATGAGTTCCTGCTATAGTTAGCATTGTAAATATTGTGAAAATGAACTGATTCCTGAGGACTTAACTTTAGCTTTACCTTAAGAATCACCAATGTATGTTTCTGTCACTTTTCTTCTAACAATCTATTAAGGTGAAGTAAGCATTAGAGGGTAAGACTTGCAAGAGGTTTTGCAAGAATATGTGTTTGAAGTACAAGCAAGAAAGACCTTGGAACAATGCTGTTTTCCCAGAGTCTCAGGAAGTGTTTGTTCATCAGTGTCTACTTTCTGGCTACTCCTGGTGGACGTTTCCTCCAAAAGCAGTTGAATACTTGATGCTGGACCAAAAAGAGGGAAAGTTCAGCACATGCCCCATGTTATAGCTTGGTTATGCACGGTGCTCAACAAAGTATACAGTAAAAGAGTGCACTTCAAAGTGAAAGAAAAGGAGTACCACTTAGGTAATTTTGAGGGCATAAGTGTTCACTGGCAATCCAATGCATGCAAATAAAGTGCCTGTGGGCATTTTTTAAGCTTTTCACTTTTTTTTCTGCAGAACAGCAACTGAGCTCCATTGCAACACGGCTAAGAGTTATCCTTAAAAGTAACGAAGAATTCCGTCCAGAAAGTGTGTGAACCAGTATTTCTATGCTTCTGCCTTAGCTCCTAGCACAAAGAGATGCTTCCTAAGGTTCCCAAAACATGGTACTACACAGCCAGTGCTCTGTGATTTATGCTGGGCTCACAAGTCTTGTTAGAAATGCCATGCAATCCCAATATTTCACGTGCTTTCCTGTACTCTTCAGTACCACTCCCTTCCCCCTCCCCCCCACCTCCATAGGAGCAGAAATAAATACATGCTGAGATTACCTCATTGCCTATAATGTGTTTTTCTTGATTGCATTAAACTTCTGTGCTCTCAGCCCAGGGCTGTTGCTTAGACAATTTTCTTCCCTTTCTATTGGTACTAGTATTGGTGAAACATACACTTGGGTTTTTTACTTCACTTTCCCTGCACTTCGACTTTCCTAAAATAAAGAAGCTTCCCTTTGCAGGTAGTAAGCAGATAGTTGGAGTCTAGCACCAAGATACTGGCTTTGCACAGATCCATCAGTATGACTCAGCAGACTGCAAGCCCAAGCTCAAGTTGCAAACAGGTGCAGTTACTGATATCTCCTATTGTGCTGGCAGAAGTCAGCTAACAGAGTACCAGATGCGAAACCAGCAACAGTACTAATAGCAACAATGATAAAATAATTGGCGGTCCTTTTTTGAAGATAGAGCAGTCTGACTCTGCTTTAACCATCCAGTATAATTATAGGTTTATAAGGCTGTTGGAGGTGCTTTTGTTTGCTTGTTTATGCATGTTATTTATGTCTACCATGACAATAGAAATGGCAAAAATTGGTTGACTGGCAATAATTGTTAAATGGAAGAATTATTTGAAATTAGGCAAGGTATTACATTGTTAAACTGTTTAAGAAAGAAAACTGCATTTCTCAAACTTTCAAATTCCTATAGAGTTAGCTATCATCATTTAAATCCATTTATGTCTTGGCTTTGATTAAATTGCTATACCTTAGACAATATCAAGTCGAATTACCCCACACTTTTAACATCAACTCCCGTTCATATGATAAATATGGTATATTTCTTTAGAAAGAAGTTTCATTTATCTGTTTTTCTCTGCATGTTACCATTGTTGTTCTTGCTTTTTTTCTACAGACTCATTGTTAATTTAAAAAAAATTAATGTCCTTCTTCTCTTACAATGCTTTGAAGACACTTTATTTATCTATACAGTGAAGCTAACTCAGTTCTTCAGTTGAAATTTCTGAGTGTCAGAGCACAATGTAGGTAAAAAAGTCCAGTAATAAATGACAGAAGAAATAAAAGCAAGGCAGCTCTGTTTAAAGGAGAGCAAATAAAGTACCTGAATGTTACACCCACTATGTATGGAAATGGAATAAAAAAATAGGAAATGTTCAACACTTTCATGGAATCTTTTTTACTTGCTTTTGTTAGATTAGAGTGGTTTTCAAGAGGGAGGA